ATGCGTCCCTTTGAAACAGCACACCTGTATGTATCCCTTGGATAAATGCCTGGTAGTGCAATTGCTGGGTCATAGGATAGTTCTATTTTTAGTTTTTTGAGGAACCTCCACACTGTTTTCCAGAGTGGCTGCACCAGTTTGCCTTCCCACCAACAATGCAAAAGAGATCCTCTTCCTCCACATCCTCGCCAACATCTGTTGTTGCCTGAGTTGTTAATGTTAGCCATTGTGACAGGTGCGAGGTGGTATCTCATTGTGGTTTTGACTTGTCTTTCCCTGATGATGAGTGATGTGGAGCATTTTTTCATGTGTCGGTTGGCCATCTGGATGTCTTCCTTGGAGAAGTGTCTATTCATGTCTTTTGCCCATTTCTTCACTGGATTATTTGTTTTTTGGGTGTTGAGTTTGATGAGTTCTTTATCTGATATGCCATTTGCAAATATCTTCTCCCATTCCGTCAGTTGCCTTTTAGTTTTGCTGACTGTTTCCTTCGCTGTGCAGAAGCTTTTTATTTTGATGAGGTCCCAATAGTTCATTTTTGCTTTGGTTTCCCTTGCCTCCAGAGACGTGTTGAGTAAGAAGTTGCTGCGGCCAAGGTCAAAGAGGGTTTTGCCTGCTTTCTCCTCGAGGATTTTGATGGCTTCCTGTCTTACATTTAGGTCTTTCATCCATTTGAGTTTATCTTTGTGTCTGGTGTAAGAATGTGGCCCAAGTTCATTCTTCTGCATGTCGCCGTCCAGTTTTCCCAGCACCACTTGCTGAAGAGACTGTCTTTATTCCATTGGATATTCTTTCCTGCTTTGTCAAAGATTAGTTGGCCATACATTTGTGGGTCCATTTCTGGGTTCTCTATTCTGTTCCATTGATCTGAGTGTCTGTTTTTGTGCCGGTGCCATACTGTCTTCATGATGACAGCTTTGTAATACAGTTTGAAGTCCGACATGTGTTCATTTTAAAGCGTCAGGACTGTTTCTGTGAGCAACAAACCATTAGGTTTAGTTTATTTATTTATTTTGAGAGAGAAAAAGAGAGTGCATGCAAGTGGTCGAGGGGCAGAGAGAGAGAATCCCAAGCAGGCTCTGTGCTGATGGCACGGAGCCTGATGCGGGGCTTGGTCCCATGGACCACGAGATCAGGACCTGAGCTGAAATCAAGAGTCAGATGCCTAACCGACCGAGCCACCCAGGGGCCCTCTCTCTGGCTTCTTGCAGTGAGTGTGGCTCGGGGAATTTGAGGAGCGTCCTTGAAGCCTTGCTCAAGATTTCAGGTCCGGAGAGGGAGCAAGGTGACTGAGCCTGGCCCGTGAGCCTGAGAGCTGGTTGCCAGGGTGGGAGAGCAGCAAAGACTCTTCTGGTGGCTGTAAAGAGAGGCCAGGTCCCCCCAGCGGCACTCACTTTGGCAGGCACTCTTGTCCCATATTAAGTCACCATCACCCCCCGCACACACACACACTTCTCCGTCACAAGAACCCCGGTTTGATTGGGTGTAACCGTGTAGCCAGCCAGGAATATTGGGCTCCCCTGCAGTGAAGGGGAAATCTACTCTCTGGGGTTTTCAGGAAATCCAGTGGCTCCCTCCTAAAAAGGGACAGCTCAGATGCACATGCTTTGTGACCACCCCTGCCCTGCCTACTGCCTAGAAGGAGGATATGGGTGCCCAGAGCGACCTCGGGCATCTTTTGGGCATGTGACTAAAAGCCCCATAACGAGGGAGGTAAGGCTGGAGAGGGCGCCTGGGTCCCTGGGGACATCATGTGGCCACGATGGCGGCCCCGGCTGCTGGCCTCGGGCCCCGTGCCTGTGGCAGAACAGTAATCCCCATTTGGGGAAGTCATGGGATTCTCCAGTTTACACGCCGTTCCTGGCTGACGGCAGTGGCGCATCTTAGATTTTGGCAACCCGAACACCCCACAAATACCAGCATTCATTCCTGAGGCCACGGCTGCTTGGCCAGGGTCCTGCTCGGGCTCAGCAGGGAGCCTCCGGCATCAGTGCGAGACCCCGGCTCACGACAGGATCTGCCAGTCTCAACGGGAGATGCTCTGAGACTCCAGTGTTTTGTTTTGTTGGTTTAAACAGCTTTATTGAGGTAGGATCTACACACCATAAAGTTCCTGTTTCCAGTGGACTCTTTTATTATTTTTAGTAAATTTACATAGCTGTGCAACCATTACCAAAATTCAATTTTAGAATATTTCTGTCATTCTAAAGAGATCCCGCGTATCCATTAGCAGTCACCCCCTACCCCCTCGGCCCCCTACACCCCCCCCCCTCCTTACCTCTATCCCCCCCCCTCCACACCCCTACCCCCCACCCCCCCACCACTAATCTACTATAGATTTCCCTGATCTGAACATTTTGCATAAAAGGAATCATACACTATGTGGCCTTTTGTGTCTGTTTTCTTTCACTCAGCCTAATGTTTTCAAGATTCATCCATGTTGGAGCATGGATCACTGCTTCACCCTCCTTTTTATGTATTAATAATATTCCACTGTATAAATACACCAGATTTTGTTCATCCATTCGCCAATCAATGGCCACTTGGGTTGTTTCCTCTTTTTGGCTCTTGTGAATAGACGCCACCGCGAACATTTGGGCACACGCACGTGGGCGTATGCTACTTCTCCTGCGTAGATACCTGGGAGTGGGTTCGTTGGGTTTTATGGTAAATTGATGTTTAACTTTTTAAGAAACTGCCACACTGCTTTCCAAAGTGGCCGCACGATTTGACGTTCCCACTGGAGGAGGTACGTGAGAGTTCCTTTTGCTCTGAAACCTTGAAAGCCATTGGCTTTGTCATTGTTGTTGTTGTATCTATTATAGTTATTCTAGTAGGTGTGAAATGGTATCTCCTTGTGGTTTTGATCTGTGTTCCTCTAATGACTAATAAGTTGAGCATCTTTTCATGTGCTTATTGGCCATTTGTATGTCTTTGGTGAGATGTCTCTTTTCAAAGCTTTTGCTCCTTTTTAAAAAAAATTTTTTTTAATGTTTATTTTTGAGAGAGAGACAGAGACAGAGAGTGTGAGCAGGGGAGGGACAGAGAGAGGGAGACACAGAATCTGAAGCAGGCTCCAGGCTCTGAGCGGTCAGCACAGAGCCCGAGGCAGGGCTGAAACTCACAAACTGTGAGATCGTGACCTGAGCTGAAGTCGGATGCTCAATGGACTGAGCCACCCAGGCGCCCCACCTCTTGCTCCTTTTAATTGGGTTATTTATCTTCCTAATGTTGGGTTTGTTTTTTAAAAAAAAATTTTTTTTAAGATTTTATTTTTCAGTAATCTCTATACCCAACGTGGAACTCGAACTCATAACCCCAAGGTGAAGCGTCCCACGCTCAAGGGCGCCTGGGTGGCTCAGTCGGTTGAGCAGCCAACTTTTGATTTGGGCTCAGGTCTTGGTCTTGCATTTATGAGTTCGAGCTTGGCACTATGCAGAGCCTGCTTGGGGTTCTGTCTCTCCCTCTCCCTGTGCCCCTCCCCAGCTCACGCACTCTCTCTCTCTTCAAAATAAATAAATAAAACCTAAAAAAAAAAAAGAGTTGCATGCTCTATCGACCGAGCCAGCCAGGTGCTCCTCCCCATTTTGTAGAAAATAAAACCAAAGCCTCATCAGTTCTCCCTCCCTCCTCCACCATCTGTCCTGACGATGCTGAGTATAATTCCATGTGAGACTTTATACTTTTCCTAGATCTGTATGCGTCCGAAGTCAATGCATGTTCTTGTTTTTAATCACACTTTATGTGTCTTTCAGGACTCGTATGTATTTCTTCACCGCACGTTATGTTTTGGCAACTTTTCTGTGTCGAAATGTATAAAGCTCACTCATTCTTTTTATTTTTTATTTTTGAAATTATGACATTTATTAGTAGTGAAGTATTTCAGAATTGTTGGTGTGTTGGCAAAAGCCTGCCTGTGGATGGAAGACACTGCCGGGAAAGCAAACATGAGTGATTTCACTGTTTTTGCTGGTTTCGTTGTTAACTACATGCTTGACAACCACGGTTTAACTTAAAGATTTTGACAGAAAATTCCCTTCCCTTCCATTTTAGGCTGAGTTTCCATTTGGAGCCCTTACCTTTAAGGGACTGTTTCTTTAGATTTATGAATGAGGAGCGCCTGGGTGGCTCAGTTAAGTGCCAACTTCGGCTCAGGTCATGATCTCACCGTCTGTGAGTTCGAGCCCCGGGGCGAGCTCTGTGCTGACAGCTCAGAGCCTGGAGCCTGCTTCGGATTCTATGCCTCCCTCTCTCTCTGCCTCTCCCCTGCTCGCTCTCTCTGTCTCTCTCTCTCACACACACACACTAAATAAACTTAAAAAGAAGCTTAACAAAAAAGAAAGTAAACACCCACTCATGATTAAAAAAAAAACTCTCTGAAAACTAAGAATAGAGGGGACTTCCTTAATTTGATAGAATTCTACAGCAAATATCATACTTTCTTCCTTGATGTCTCAAAAGAGTCATGGAATAAATGGCAAAAGAAGTGGGAAGGCAAAAATGGTTCTTATTTTCAGATCAGTAGATACATACAGTTTAAAGAATCTACAAACTGTAAGACTAAAATCAACATAAATAAATAAACCTAAAAAAGAAAAAAAAAAAGGCTACCTTGTGGAGCCTTGGAGGAGGTAAGTGTGGGAGAGAAGAGGCCTGGATCAGGGCAGGGGCTGCGGGGAGGGAAAAAACTATGAGGAAGGCCCCAGGAGAGACACTTCTGCCTGGATTTGGGCATCGCTGGGCCCACATTCTCAGAATTCTCATTTGGTTCACTTACCAGGTTACAGAGGTGATAAAGCTGAGTGGAGACTCTAAAACTTGTCTGCATGTCTGGATCTTCTATAAAACATTTTTTTTAATAAAGGAAGGCTATATAAAGGCTTCATAGATACAAATATGTTTGCCAAGAACCTCTGAAACTGATAGAGAAGTTAAAGAAAGCTCCCCGAATGTGGAAGGAAGAGGAGGGATGGGAACCAGGACAGTGACATCTAGAGGCGATGAGGGTCACTGCAGGTGGCGCCTCAGACTTGGGCTCTGCTCCAGAAGAACAGGGACAAGGAGAGCCAGGGAAGGCCTAAGATGTACGAAGTTAGGGGCTCATCCAGACCCTTCCTTCTGACACCAGCTGCAAGTTCCGGGAAGGGGGGCGAAACAACCAGTACAGGTGTACAGGACAGGGTAGGGCTGTTAATGTACTTACAGGTATATTCACCTGGAAGTTCAGAAATAGGTATCTCTTATTTACAATTACCAAGACTGCCAGTAAGCAGTCAAAAATTAAATTAAAATCACTTGTAAGGGCGGCTGGGCGGTTCAGTCAGTTAAGCCACTGACTCTTGATTTTGGCCCAGGTCACGATCTCACGGTTCATGAGTTCGAGCTCTGGCTGGGTCAGGCTCGGTGCTGGTGGCAGGCAGCCTGCTTGGGATTCTCTCTCACCCCCTCTCTCTGCCCCTCCCCTACTTGCGCCCACACACGCGCACTCTTTCTCCCCCGCAAAACAAGTAAATAAAATCGCTTGTAAAAATTGACAGGGGCAAGTACGGGATGCAGAATATGTTATAAAGTCACATAATGGATGGGTGGCAGCAGAAAAACGTAAACATTTATTTATTTTCAAAAAATTTTTAATGTTTATTCAAGTTTTGAGAGAGAGAGAGAGAGAGAGAGAGGCAGCAGGAGAGTTGGGGAGGGGCAGAGAGAGAGAGGGAGACACAGAATCTGAAGCAGACTCCAGTCTCCCGGCTGTCAGCACAGAGCCCGTCGTGGGTCTTGAACCCATGAACTGCAAGATGGTGACCTGAGCTGAAGTCGGACGATTAACCAACTGAGCCACCCAGGTGCCCCTATTTTATTTTATTTTATTTTATTTTATTTTATTTTATTTATTTGAGAGAGAGAGCACGTGTGCACTGGAGCAGGGGAGGGGCAGAAAGAGAGAGGGGGACAGAGGATCTGAGGAGGGCTCTGTGCCCACAGCAGAGAGCCCAACCGGAGGCTGGAGCCCGTGAACCATGAGACCGTGCCCTGAGCCGAAGTGGAAGGCTTAGCCGACTGAGCCACCCAGGTGCCCCTGAAAACACAATCGTTGTTGAAAAGTCAACTTAGCACATCAAGAAATGGAGGTATAAGCTTGTTATTTGGCATCATGGGGTTAAACTGGAAGAAATAAATGCAGAAAAGACCAGAAGTGGTTTGAGTAAGAGCAGGCCTGAAGCCGGAGGTAGGGAAGGTGGACTTCTCTGTTTTTCAGTGCACCCCCTTCCATGTTGCTGAAATCATCCCCCCCCCCCGCCCCCAGCACCACGCCCGCCACGTCCTTATGTTATTCTTCTAACTAAAAGGAAGGAAAGGCAACCAGGTCAGCGTGGCTGCTCCCGGGGATGGTTGCCCGACGTGATGTATAGGACGTTTTCAGAAATTCATTTCGTAATGAGCCCGAGGACGCGTCTTTTCCTCCATCAGTTCCTCGGTCTGTGGATGGCTAATAACCACTCCTAGGGTGACCCGCGTTTCCGCACCAAGTCTATGCTTGCGTTGCGTTTCCAAACGATGACAATGCTGATACTCCTCACTCACATGAAATAAGTGATCAGGTAAAGACGTTGTGGGCACAGCCTGTGGCTCAAGCCCCGAGCTCCTTTTGAAGTCCCAAACCCCACAGCGAACACACCTCGGGAGCTCAGAAGTGGCCGCGCCACCTTAGGGGGAGGCGGGAGGGAGCCTGGCTGGCCCTCGGGGGCACTGGGAACGCGCTCAAGGAGCCAGCTTGAGCCAGCCTCTGCCCTGGCTCTGTCATCTCCCTCCCCCTAGAGGTGCGGCCCCCGCTCCGGACGGCCCTTCCGGGGCGGCCTTTCTCAGCCCCGGCTGCTTGCCGGAATCTACTGGAAGCTTTCGGAAGATGCCCTCCGGGCCGCCCCAGGCCCGCTAACTGACCCGGCCCGGCGCCCGTCTCTAAGGCGCCCACTCCCTGGCGCCGGCGGCCGCGTCCCCATTGCTCCGGCTGGGACGCCGAGGCGTCGAGGGGCGGGGCCTGCAGCGGCTCCGCGGCCAAAGATCCTTCACCCCTCTTCCCCCCGCAGTGTACCACTGGGCGGAGATGCGGGCCAAGATGCGCCTCATGGGCTTCAGGGCGGAAGCCGTCAAGCCGCTCAATGAGGACGCGGCCGCCGAGCTGGGCGCCGAGCTGCTGGGTGAGGCCACCGTCTTCCTCGTGGCCGGCGGCTGCCTGGTGCTGGAGTACTGGCGCCACCAGGCGCACCAGCGTCGCAAGAGGAGCGAGCGGCAGGCCGCCTGGGAGGCGATGCGGGACGAGGTGGGCCACCTGGCGCTGGCGCTGGAGGCCCTGCAGGAGCAGGTGCGCGCGGCGCCTGCGCAGAGCGCGCTGGAGGAGCTGCAGGCGCAGATGCGAGAGGTGCGCGCCCGGCTCTGCGCCCGGGACCCGCCGTCCGCCCCCCCAGCGACGCCCGAGGAATAGGGAAGTGTAGGGCCCCGGTCTTCGATGTGGCTGTTGTCGGGGCTGTGACGACTCTGACATGGCCTTCTGTCCACACGGTCCGTTGAGGAACCTGCCCAGCTGATTCCACCTGGTCCCTTTCGGGGCGGAAGGGAGGCTGGACTGGGGCTGATCCAGCCAGGCTTTTGGTCGGCCGCCTCCCTACTAACCTGGCCGGAGGCACCTTCCACAGGGACTCTGTTCCAACAGGAGTCCCTTTGTCCTATCTCCCCCCCACCCCCACCCCCCGCCATCTCTCCCCCACCCCCACCCCCACCCCCACCCCCAGTGCACGGGTTTAACACTCTGTAATGGAAAGAGATCGTGTTCCATTGGATCCCACCCACCCGCTACTAGGTGGGCCGGCGGGACACATGGACCCAGCCAGCTCATTCTGTCACACTTCCACTTATCTGAGTAGGGTGCCCCCCCCCCCCCCCATTACACCAGAACGCCCTTTCCCCCTTCTTCATTGGTGCAGACCATTATAAAGAAAATGCAAGCTCCCAGTGGGTTTACAGACCCGGTCACTTTCCATCTACCTCACTTTGGAGGGGACAGAGAAGGATGGGTCTTGGAGGGCCTTCTGCCCAGTGAGTCACCCTGTGGCTCCTGCCTTCAGTCCACCAACCACTCGTACCTCAGCAGGTCACCCCCTCAAGTGGATCATTCCAACAGAGACCCCCCACTTTAGTCTGCGGCATAACGCATGGTACAGGGTCTCCCCACCGCCTGTGGTCTGTTCCAACAGGACTTGGTCCTCTGGGACAGAAAAATCGGTCCTGCCTGGGGATGGGCCATTCTGTGTCGGTCTAAGGCTCTGTGTACCTGAAGTTCTGGACCTCCTGTTGTCCTTTTCCACTGTCCTTCCCTGCCAGCCCTTCATAGGGACCCACCCAGTCCCCTGCTACATGGGTCACTTGTCACATCCCATCCAAGCCTGCTCTCAAGTACTCAGGGATTCCTTCTTCCTTCTTGCCTTTGGACTGATCGCCCAGCCCACCCTCACCCTCCTTCACGCAGTGGGACCACCTGCCCCTCAGCTCTGAAGTCCCCCACCCCCATCCGAATGGAATATTCCAGCCAGGCAGGGTTTTCTACCCCACCTACCCCCTGCCAACCCATTGAACCACTGAAGGGGGTGTGTGTGAGCTCTGTGACTTCTGAATTCTATTTTTTTTTCAAGACTGTAAATATTTTATAATTAAAGGAGCTCTGGGGTAAAGAAGTCATCTTTAAGAATGCGTCAGAGAACCATGACGTACATCTACAAAATGGGTACAAGGCTCACTGAAATTAGGAGAGAAGCTGGGAGGAGTCCCACAGGAAGGGCAGAGTCATCCCGTAAGCCCTTTCCCAGATGGGGAAACTGAGGCCCAGGGGTGGCAAAGGGACTTGCCCGATGCCACACAGTCAGTGAAGGACCATGCTTAGCTTTCTCTACGGTACTGAACTGTTTGGTGCAGGGGGGAAAGAAATGAGGAGGCAGCCCAGAAGAGGCTTGGGGACAGGAGGAGGCTGAAAGGGTATTGAGACCACCCAGGTGCAGGAGCCCCGTGGGAACCGGAACAGGAAGAGGAGGGGAAGGGAGTTTGCTGGGGGAGGGGCACATCCCCCAGAGCGGCCGGCCCTTCAAATCACTCCAGAAACCTTAGCATTTATAAAAACTGGCAGATTTATTCCGTAGGGGCCAATTTTTCAAGAAGCTAAAGGTGAAGGTGGGAGAGGGGAGGTTTCCTCCCCTTTTCCTTTCTCCCTCCTTTTATTTTCCCCAGGGGGTAAAAATGGCCTGGCCCCCAAAACCTACCCAAATAAAAAAACAAAACAAAAAAACAAAACAAAACTGAGGTTCCAAAAAGTTACAGCATCTTAATTCCTCATAGAAAAGGGGAAGGAGCCAAAGGGAAGGGAGTTCCCTGGGGTGGGGGGTGGAGGTGCCCCCAGCCTGGTGGGACACCCCCCCCTTAAATAGCTGCCCCAAATGGGACAAGCCTGGGGCACAGCATTTAAAAACTCCCCATACCCCATTTTATCAAAACCAAAGAGAAAAAAAAATTTCCCTTTCCCCCCAAAAAACCTAAATATATATATATTTTTTTTTTTCTTAAAAAAACAAAAATTCGAAGGCATTAAGCGTTAAAGTGAATCTAGAACAAGGGAATGTGAGATTCCCTCCTTCCTCCCCCCTTACTGTGGGGTTCATTGGTACATCCCCAGCGGAGGAACCAGCCCCAAGGAGAGGGGAAGGACCAAAGGGAGCAAAGGGTGGGGGCCTCCCCAGCCAATCAGCAGCCAGTATGGGTGTGGGCACGTTGCCAAGGAAGCCACACCCCCTTGGAATTTTCCAAGTAGGATGGGGAGCGGGGACGACGCATTCCTGTGTAGTCTTCAGCCAATTCCAAGTCAAGTTGAGGCAGGGAAAGCAGGGTGACAGGCGGGGTGTGCAGAAAGGACATACGGGATTTTCGGGAGCCCTGTGGTCAGGGGGAACCCCGCTTCCTCAGCTCCTGGACAAATGCTGGAAGGAAACAAGGGGCAGAGGTCAGGGGTGGAGCCTCTTCCCCCCTTCCCTTCCAGAACAGGGCTCTCTGCAAGGGATGCCTCCAAAATAGACATTTAAAATTTAAAAAACCGCCTCACCTTCAATGATTTCCTCTTTCACTTTCTGCAGTTCCTTCCTCACCTCTTCCAGAAGCTCCTGGAAATAATGGGGTGTAACCAGTCAGGAAGGGTACCTGGACTTGTAGAAATGAATCCTCCCTTTCTTAATGACTGAAGGGCCGGAGGAATAAGGTTCAAGGACCACACACACACACACACACACACCACCCACACACACACAATGACATCACTGATAAAGCCATAGAGTGACTGGAGAATTCTAGGGGAAATTTCTGGATCCTTGGAGCCAGATGAAAAGTACTGGAGAACATCCAGTACCGGGGTTGGCAAATACATTCCAGTCTCCTGCCAATTCCAGTTGGTGATGGATGGCTGGGGCTGGTGTGCTGGAAAGGACTCTGGGTACTCCTCAGGAAGGAGCGCAGTGATAGATTAGTAAGGTCTGTCCGGGCACTGACAGAGGAGGCTGTGGTTTCAGTGTCCTCCCGACCTGATTGAATCCCTCCATGTCTCAGATTGGAAAACGGAGGATTCAGAGGCTTTATCATGGAATCACAGGGCAGGCCAGCGGCAGCGTTTGGACCCAGATCTCCTGTCTTCCCGTGGCCCCTTTCTAGCCCCCGAGTCTCACCCCTGGCCCCTCCCCCGAGCTACCTGTTTCACTCTCTCCAGGTCTGACTCATCACTGGAGCTGGGCGTAGAGGGGTGGGCCTCAGAAGTGGTCACGGAAGAAGAAGACTTCATCCTAGCGAGTCGGTGTGGTTTGGAATAGAAATGAGGTTAGAGAGAGGGTCCGCCTCCCCTGCTTCCCCTTCCAAGGGTCACATGGTGTTCCTTCCTACAAAGTGGGCAAATCCGACTATTTCCGGGGGGATGGGGCCCCAGCATCGATGGCCCACCTTGGCAAGGTTGTGCTGTTCTTTTCCCAGGGTCTCCGGACAGATTCTGGGGGAAAGACAATGAATCGGGAAGATCAGGGGCAAGGACGGTCCTGCCTCAATCTCCACCCCCTAGCTTCATCAGCCCCTGTTCAAAGAAACGTCTCCGGAGACCACAATCCCCAGCAGTGCTGGCACAGGCTCCCCCATGGAGGGGAGGGGGCGGGAGGGGCGTCCCGGGTGAGAACAGGGCATCCTGACACACAGCTCCTGTGGCCGGACCGGCTCACTCACCACTCTGGGCTGGGACTCGAGCCTCTGGCTCCTCCTGCTGGTGGGAAATGAAACTGTCATGAGCCGGGCGGCTCGTTCTCCTCCTCCAGCTTCAAACCCCGCCCATTCCTAGCACACCCCCACCGCCCTCCCCAGTGTCCCTACCCGAATGGTACAGCCTAAGGTGCACGTGGCAGGAAGAGCCCCTAACTCACATTGGCAGATTCATCCTTGGGGGGTTTCTCCCCAACTTGTGTGGCTTTCCTTCTGCAGGAGGGACAGGCAAAAACAGATGGCTTCAGCCCTCCCTCAGCCACTCGGTAGTTCTTAACCAGAGTTCTAGAAAGGTGGATTCTAGGGCGTAGAGTTCTGGAATTCTCTAAAACTTGAGTTTTAGAAGTGAAAGAGAGCGCTGTTCTCCAGCTGGGGTGTGGGCCTTACACTGCTCTCATCTGGGAAGCACAACGCGCTAAGGGTGGAGGGCTCTCTGTCTTCCGCTGCTTGGGATTCTAGGAATCTGAGTGTCCAAGATGCCCAGGCAGGATCTCCTAAGGGGAGACCTCCTGAGGTCCTAGAATTCTGGGTTTTAGAACATTCTAGAGGCTACCTGGGTGGTTGCAAACCTCAGCCATCTCAGGAGAATGGAATCTCCAGCATGAGATCCCAAACCTGGCTGTCAAAGAGGGAACTTTCACCCAAAGAAACAAACGCATTGGGAATCTGAGCCCTCCCCCAACCGGGCCCTACTGAACTGGAATCTCCAGGTGATGACTGCTGGTCTCGGGACGCCTTCCCAGAGCTTTCCAAGGCACTGACTGCTCCAGGCTCCAGGCTCAGGCTCACCTCCGGGCCAGCATGGCGTTCATTTCTTCCATCAGCCCCCCGCCCGTGCTCCGGCCGCTGTCTGCTTTGGGGGCTGAGGGCCCCCCTGAGGCCTCCTCCTGCTGGAGAAATTACAAAGAGGAGGGGGCTTTATGTGCAGGCCTCTTGCCCGCCCCCCCCCCCCAGCCCTCCTGTGACACCCCCCCACCCCCCCTCCCCCGGGCAACTCTGGCCTCATTCCATTATCCCATCAGGGCCCCGTCACTCCACATCCTGCGGGACCTGGCCCCCTCACCTTGCTGACTTTCCTGAGTTTGGCTCCGGCAATGGCGGCCGCAAGGCCGGGGGCCCCAGTTCCGCCACCACTGGGGCCTTGTGCTGTGGGGAGAGGGGGCGCAGGGGGCGGGCCTCCCCCTGCTCCATGCCCTGCAGCCGAGACCCCTGAGGGGGACACCCCAGGAGGTGGGGGGGGACCCGGAGGAGGGGGAGGTCCTGGAGGGGGGGGCGGCCCCCCAGCTGGAGGAGCAGGTGGGCCTCCTGAAAGAAACAGAGAAAGAGGGTGCTAAGAGAGAAGCCTCACCCCTCGCTGTCCAGCTGGCCCACCCCCCTCCTCTGGGGACTCCCGCCTCCACGTCCCCCCAAGGCCACCACCAAGCACTCACCTGCATTGGAGA